CTGTGAAGAAATCTTACTTGTCAATACTTGAATAAAACCATTCAAAATAACACCATTTGGCAGCCTTCGGCAGCTTGAGAAGGTTTTGAAGTCTTGTAAATGCAAGCTATAAAATAATGATATATAGATTAAGGAGCATTCACAATTAATATTACATTTAAACTACATTTAGTACAATATTATAATTGTACTGTAGTTTAGAAAACAGATCTAATATATCCTTGTAATATGACAAATAGATTGGTCAGACACATGAATAGATACAATATTTAACTCGACAGGCTTCATACTCTACTCATGATTTCCATGACTTTTACATAGTTGACTGAAATATWGAATCTACTTAATAAATACTAGCACTTCATGCATGCGATCTTTAAAATGTTGCAATTTGGCAGCATTCCATTGATAACCACAAGCTACGTCATTAATGCATTTTTGTTTTTAATTTGTTCAGGAAATAGAAGTAGTAATTATAAAATGACAAACAAGAGTATTTTCAATGACTTTCCATGGCCCTTGTCCTTGACAAAATTCCATGACTTGCCGAGCCTGGAAAACTAAAATTTGGCATTCCATAACTTTCCAGGGCCCGTACAAACCCTGTAACAAGCTTGATATTCTTACCTTGGCATCTTTTTTATTATCTGTGCCATTTGCCCCAAACTATTATTAAAATAATTGTTACAAACATGAATGATGACTGTGTGCTGTGTTTTGATGCAGGTAGAGTAATACACACTATATGTTATATAATTATGATACTTGTTTATTCACACACACATTTGCAATAATACTTTATATCAATTCATTAATAATCTATTACCCCCATGCAAATTTATATCAGGGAAAACCTTCGTATATGGGCAAGAGATTTTTCTTTAAATTTGCATATGACTTTAATATTATTATATGTATTTCTCTTGTAGCGGTTACGAACGTAGTGAGTGTGAGTGGAGAGAGAAATAATTTCCTTGGCGACGTAAGGACTGGGCACTAGTGTGCACGTGACATTATGTAAATAGGAGCTGTGTATATAAGAATGAAGCGATTTTAGTTAGACTATTGTGGTCTAAGTTCGTGTTCAATACCTTCATTTTGTGAAATAATGTCTTATTTTATTTTATTTCATTATATCAAATGTACATTAGGATTATTCAGAGAGTGGACAGGGTGAAGAAGTTCATGTTGTTATGTAGGGGAGGTTTTTTTGCAATAAAGAATATTGTTTGCGGGCTTAGACCGATCACCTGCATACTGTGTACCGTGTTGTTCTAAGGAAACTAGGCCTGTAGGACTACTAGGAAATTGATTTTCTGTTAAAAATAATATTTTATCTTTCAGCAAAATTTGCTTGCYTATGTTAGAATTTGATGAGCAATATAAATTATATTTGCTTGCTGCATGCAGTTTTAAATGCCCATAAAGGTCTCAGGTCATATTTAGCTCATATTTTTTATGGCAATTTCTCCAAGACTTTTTACAGATTTGAGTTTAAAATTAGTGTTGAGTTTTTGAAGCCATTTAAAACACTCGAGATCGTGTTTTAAACTATACATAATGATTCGCTAGTAGATTTTTATCAAGCAGAGTCTGTAGCTCACGCAGCTATGCGTGAGTTAATTCATAAATTTTAATGTGATATTTTCCTATCATTACATACAATAAGTTGATGAATATCAAATAGAAATCAGAGAAAGTTCTACTTCCTAGTGCTACAGTATACAGTCCACAATATAATGTTATCAAAATACAGTCCACAATATAATGTTATCAAAATACAGTCCACAATATAATGTTATCAAAATACAGTCCACAATATAATGTTATCAAAATCAAGTAAAGAAACTTACCAGAGTGGGAGACCTTGCAAACCTTGAAATAAAATAAAGTTTCTAAACTAAAGTTCCAGAAATAAATGACTGCTACATCATGACATTGGCTGATATTAATATTACTATATGATAAAAATAGCATGGAAGATGCAGGACAAAATGTAAATCAATGAGAGATTATCAGAATGTGTAGAACATTATTACAATATACCAACCTTGATTTTGAGCTTGATAATTCCTAGAAAACAAGATTAGAATTTAATGTTATTGGCTCATTGAATCAACAGTGTACTATAGTAAGCTCTGTCACTTTAATTTCTTTTATTCCATGACACTTGACTCACCTTAGCCTCCTTTAGCAGCTGCCCCTGTGTCATGTGGAGACAAGCGTTGCGTGACGAGACAGGGGTGGCTGCTAAAGGAGGCTAGACGTG